TTTGTTTGTATCACATCAAGGCTCTGGCTCAAAGGAATACAACCTACTTCAAAGAAGCAAGTGTGGCCAAATTTTTGGGTTACTGAGATTAAATTATAGATTAAAAAAAAAAAAAAACTGCCAAGAAACATAAGAATAGTTGATGATAACAATTGTACCCTAGACTAGATGGTATTTTGGACTTTGGACTGTGATATGAAACTACTTCTTCAGCTGGCCATTTCATCTTAAAGTCATATAAATGAGAATGTAATCTTAATCGTCAACGTATCTTCTTAATATAATGTTCCTAATTTACAACTGACTACAATTTAAGGTAGAAATTTGTCAAAAATCTTTACCTTAGGTGGTCTTGGAACAACAAAGGCATGACCATTTCCAAGCATATCCAAGTGAGCCTGAATAATATAACAGAGATTTCTGCAATCACCAGCATCCTCAAAAGCAATCACATGGTGTGGTTTTGGTTCCAATTCAAGATCTGCTGCCATCTCCAATGCATAGAAGCCTATTCTCTGTTCCTCCCTTTGAGTTGTGTATAACTCAATGCACTGCAAAAGATTAAACCTTGTTCAATCATCTCAGTTTTAGTGGCATGGAGCAAAAAGCAAATAACAGGCAAGTTAAACCCATATGTCTCATCTGGCATGTCACATGTGCATGATTTGGGTGCATTCTAATTCACATTAAAATAGGATAGTATGCTTGTTCACATTCTCACCAGTACATGTGGAAGATCTAACCACCAAAAGAAATCTTCTTCCTTCTCCTCTGCATATTCACGGTATTTGCTCACCACAGCTTGTGGTCCAAATAACTCCATTTCTCTTTTAAGCTTGTTGATTGTCTTTTCAATGAATTTTTTCTGTTTTTCAGGAATTTTGGTCATGAGATCTTTTGCTTCCTCTATCTCTTTTTCAGTTATCCATCGATCCAGATCCTTACCTACATCCTTCATGATGGATTTAATGTCTGGATCAGTCTCAGCATTGTAGGATTCCAAGAACCCACGGGACCATTTCTTTGTGTGCTGCCAATACTCCTTCCCTGATTTCTTACCATGTCTGAGAGAACCATCACTGCCTTCTATAACTGTCTTGGAATATTTTGGATCCTTCATATGTGATTCCCTCAGTAGATCAGTATCTGCTGAAGATTTGGCAAAATTCTGATCATCTAAGGATTCTAATGGTTTCTGAAGGAATTGTTCTCCATCTTTGTCTGTAGGACATGGTTCACCAGCTTTTTCAGAAAAAAGTGTCTTCCGTTGTTCTAGGAAATTATCAAGAAACTGAGGACTTTTCTCTAAAGGAGGTCCCTTCCAGCGCGGTACAACCTTTTCTGGTGGATCATACAAGCTGACGCCATCTAGAAGAGAAGCCAAAGACTGTTAGTCATCAGTGCATTACCAAATTGCAAAATTCAATAGGCAAAATCATTTAGGATATCAACCAATAAGTCTTTCAGCCTCCAGTCAACTTTATTAGAAGTTTTCACAAACCCATTCTCACAAACAAAATGCACAAAGACATGAATTTGATACATCACAATCTAGTCACTGCTATCATAAAGTTAACCATGTTGTGTAAGAATAAAGCATTTCATTTCTTCTCCATGTGATAAAAGGCAAAAGAAAAATGCATTTCAAGAACAAACAACTACCTGCTCCATAATCAAGATTTTCAATGTTTGAATGAAGCCATTCATGCAGGTGAGACAGCTTCTCATTTTCTTTCTCAACCTTCTTCTCCAGACCATGGAAGAATGCATGTTTATCTTCAGCATCCATCAAATAGAAAGGATCTCTACCTGCCAACTCATTTTCTCGAACCTGAAAAACAATTTCTCTAAGTCTATCATCTTTCATCCACTCTAGTTCGCTGTCATCTTCATTTAAGCCAAGCTGTGAAATCTCCGTACTTGTATTTAGATTTTCACCAGCTTTCTCTCTTGCAACCATGTAATTATCTCTAAAACCATCTCCTATCTTCTTAAGTACAGGTTCAACATCATGAAAATTTTTCTCTATCCAGTTATCCACCTCTGATTCTTTATCTGCACTGTTGCCAGGACTTTCATTAGAAACTGGAGATTTTTGGCCAACATCTGCTCTATATCCTTTGTTAGAATCTTTTATGTCATTTCCCTCAATGACAGGCTCCTCATCCTTCAGACTGGAACTTTGACAGGCATCTATGGTAGATGCAGGTTCTGATGCTCTTCTAGTAATGGCCGATTGGAATCCTTGGTTGTCTGCCTCAAGCATCTGCCAGGAATTTATGCCTGCTTCTTCATCCCACGGCAGCTGTAAGTTAGACAGATTTTGTTCACCAGCTTTCACTAATGGTCCTTGCTCAAGATCATGTTTGTTGAATTTTTTTGAAAGAAACTCCCTAGCTTCCTTCACTGACAGTATGACCCTTGGTTTAACGATGGTAGATTCATTCTTCACCAAATAGGATTTGCTATCAGTAATATCAGAGGAATGGACAACTTTCCTCTTGACCATTGATGTTAAAGTACTCTCGGCATCTTTTAAATTTTTTGTTGTGCTTTGCATGTCTTCTATAACCTCTACACTTGAAGTAACAGATGCTTGCCTAACTCTACTTTCTAATGAAGCTTCCCCATTTTGAAATTGAACATCATCACCCTCTGATATAGGTATAGGTGTTGAGACAACAGCTGCATTCTCATCTATAGTCTGTCTTGCTTTTTCATGCAGAAGGTTATTTTGAGAACTTACATCCTCATTCTTCTCCTTTTGAATCACTTCCATCTCATTAGGCAATCCACCATCCACAGTCCTGAGTTCTTTTTCATCCTTACCAGCTAAAGATGTATCTCTACTCTCAATCTCCCGGGCTTGCCTGGCCATAACTCTAATTTCCTGAATTTTATGATCATAATCCGTAGACTTGCTTGCATGAGAGCTAGAAGAATCGGGCAATTCCAATGCATCCCTAGCAGCCCTTGCTTTCAATATATTATTCATAAGTTCTTGCTTATCCAGCTTAGGTTTCTGAAAGTACACATTAGGTGGTTTTGAAGGTTCTTGAATAACTTCCACACTACCCTTCCCCATCTCTTTCTCCTCTCTAGACTCTATCTTCCTCCTCACCTCCTTATTCCAAAAACTGAATAATTTCTTCACAGTCCAAAGTACAGCCACGCCACAAAGTACTAAACTCCCAACCACTGAGAGTTTGGGGATAAAATCAGGACGAAGAATCACACCTTGAATTGCATTGACCAAACTAGGCTCCTCACCTGCAACAACAAACTTTGCTACAGAACTATTTCTTGGAATCACATTTTCACCCTTCTCCATCTCTCTAGCTAAATTTTTTGCGTACAGAGTTTTGTAATTCACTTCTGATAATTCTCCAAATTCGTGTCTACCGTCTTCGCTTCTTTCCAAAATCTCATCCTCATTAACTGTAACCTGCTTCACTTTCCCTTCCAAATCTTGTAAAACTGTGAAAATTGGACCAGACCCCACACCCCAAAATTCAATATCCTTTTTATATTGTTCAACCCAATTCTCTAACTTGGTCAGTAATAGAGAACCACTAAAACTTTTCATTTCTACATTCTGAACACTACTTGCTTCCCCAGTAACCACACTACTCTCCCTCGGACTACCATAATTCAAACTCTCTTGAAAATTCTTACCATCGTCATAACCACCCTCTCGGGTTTCAAAATCAGAACTTGAGTCTAAAGGAATGGGATTTTGACGAACCTTTTGATCTTGAAGGAGCTTCTTCCTCAGCGAGTTCCGACGGCTGGTGGGGCGTCCAAAATGAGCAGATAACCGGAAGGCTTTGGGAGTAGATAACATTAATGGCGCATGTAGAGATTTTGATACGCGGAATCTGCGTGCTTTTATCTTACTGCAAGCGTTTGAGGAAAATGGAGAGGTGAAAAAAGAGGTGCTGGAAAAGTTCCGAGGCGTCTTTGGAATTGGAGGATTGAGAAGCTCCATGAGTCGTAAGTGTGGATCAGGGTCTCGGACCAGACAGGAAGAGAGTGTGAGGTTTATTGAAATGGTAAGGAAATTGCTAAAACAGTAAAACCCAGTACGGAATTCAGGAAACGGCGCCGTATAGAATGCAAGAACATATAAAATCACTTCGGAAGGGCGAGGCGAATAATCTAGTACCATTCACACCCTCTTTTATTACATAGAACACTACGTGATTTATTGTATTTGCATTAGTTTATTCATGGAATGTTAAAAACATAAAAAAACCAACATTGGATTAAGTAAAACTAACAAGTGAGATATTAAAGTAATTGAATATAGAAAAAGGTAAATTAAAGTAAGGTATTAAAATAATTGAATATATATATATAAAGTGAATTAAATGAGATAAAAAACTTAGTAAGTTGCCTTCTACAGTAAAAAACACATATAAATTCATAATTTTTTCTTTTTTTCTTTTTTTTAGTTTGTGTTTTTATTAAAAAATATATGAATCTATTTTTGAAATTTTTTTAAAAAAATAAATATTATGTGCTTTTATATTGAATTGTTAGAGCTAGAGATTTAATGAATAAATTATTTGGTACTAGTAAAACCACAAGTTTTAAATTAAATTTTGAACTTTTTAAAAAAAATTTATATTTTTATATTTTAAAAATTTTTTAATAATTTTTTTGAATTTAAATTTATATAAAAAAAATTTCAACTTAAACTTTTAGAAAAAAAAAAAGCAATATAAAGAGAGGGAATGTAAAGGAGGAGAGAGAAGATGGATGGAAGAAAAGAAAGTAAATGACGACTCTTTAGTAATTTTGTAATTTAAATTGACCACATTACCCATCCAATGTTATATTAGCATCAAGCCATTCTTTGGTAACGGAGTAACAAGGATGTAGACGGAAAGATGACATTTGATGAGGTCATCGTCAGCAGAAGGGTTGATTTGTGGGTTTTGTCAAGCAGAATGGTTGATTTGCACTACTTTTAAGTAGAGGGGCTGATATGCCACAATAATGGAAATAGAGGGACTGAATTGCACCTTCTGCTTTTATGAAAGGGTAAGGAAATCGCTAAAACCCAGTACGGAATTCAGGAAACGGCGCCGAATAGAATACAACATATAAAATCACTTGGGAAGGGCGAGGTGAATAATATAGTACCATTCACACCCTCTTTTATTACATGGTACACTACGTGATTTATTGTCCATTAGCTTATTCATAGAATGTTGAAAACATATAAAAACCAATATTGGGTCAAGTAAAGTTACCAAGTGAGACATTAAAGTAATTGAGTATGA